GGTGACAGAAATGAAGCTGAAGAAAGAATGATTGAATTTTGCACAATCAATGACTTATTTATTGCAAATATGTTTTATAAGAAACATAAACGCAGCCTATACACATGGATTTCACCTGATGGTATGCATAGGAATCACATTGATTACATCTGTGGAAAGAACCGCTGGAAAAGCTCAACATCAGCTGTGAAAACTAGGCTGGTGCTGATTGTGAAACAGACCACCAACTACTCATATGCAAGTTCTAGCTGAAGCTAAGGAAAATTAAATTAAATCCATGGGAACCAAAATATGACCTTGAGTCTATTCCACCTGAATTTCAGAACCATCTCAGAAACAGGTTTGAGGCCTTGAACACCAGTGAGCGAAGACCAGATGCGTTGTGGGAGGATATAAAAAGTATCATCTAGGAAGAGTGCAAAAGGTCATTACAAAGATGTGCAAGGAGCTCGAGTCAGAAAATCAGAAGGGCTGAACTCACTCAGCATTTCTTAAGCTCAAGGAACTGAAGAAGAAATTCAAGCCTCGAGTTGCAATACTTAAGGATGCTTTGGGCAGAAGATTAAATGAACCAGGAAGTATTAAAAGAAGATGGAAAGAATATATAGAGTCACCATACTGAAATGAATTGGCAGATACAGAAGAATTTCATGAAACAACATATGAACAAGAGCCTGTGGTGATGAAGAAGTTCAAGCTGCTTTGAAGGAATTGGCAAAAAAATAAGGTCTCAGGAATTGACGGTACACCAATTGACATATTTCAACAAACAGATGCTGCCTTGGACGTGCTCACCAAATTGTGCCAAGAAATCTGGAGAACAACCAGTTGGCCAACTGACTGGAAGAAATCTATATTTGTTCCCATCCCAAAGAAGGGTGACCCAACAGAGTGTGGAAATTATAGAACAATATCATTGATATCACATGCAAGCAAGATTCTGCTGAAGATTATCCAAAAATGACTGGAACAGCCCATCAGCAGAGAACTGCCTGAAGTGCAGCATGGGTTTAGAAGGGGTCGTGCTACTACAGATATTGTAGCTGATGTCAGATGGATTTGATGGTACACACACACACACACACACACACACACACACACACATACACACACACACAAATAAATGAATGGATGAATGAATAAATAAATAAATAAATTTTTAAAAAATTAAAAGAAAAGAAAACCTGATGGGCAATTCTACTACTCTCTTAGATGGGTCACTGTGAATAAAACAAAACACAATCTACTCCATGGCACCTGCTAACAAACAAACATGATTACACTGGGTTATCCAGAAAATTCAAGACATTCTCACTGTTAGGAACTAAGTTAATTCTTGTTTATCAGCTAATTTCTGTTGTTGTTGTGTGCTGGGGAATCAGAATTGGCCTGTATCTGATCCTTGTTGTTGTTTTGTGTCATTGAGTCATAAATTGTTTACTCAGCCTACCACCCTGACGCATACCCTTCCTTACCTTCAACTATGAAGTGTTTTTTGCTCTGTTTACACAACAGCTTCTTGGTCTAGGTATAGAGTCCATATGAACACAGTTAAGTGTTTCCTTCAATACTCCAGTTTGAGACTTAGATTTCCCCCAGTCCTTCAGGTCTTTCGGCTTGCTTTTTCCAGCCTCAAGTCTTTCATTATAATTTAGTATAATACATAGTCCATTATAATAAGGATGTGATTACTTTGAGTATGCTTTGGAATTAACATCTTAGGCATAAATGGTGTCTATAAATACTCTCAATGATACACTTGCTATGAAAAGTAAATGATTTGTTCAGGAGGTGAGGTTTGATAGGCATATTGCAGCTAGAATAGAAGCCATGTAGGAAAGCAGTAGTTTAATTATTACATATGAGTGTAAAGGAGAGGAGTAGTATTTCCTTCTATGTCATTTAGCATATGTTAGCCTTCACCACACTGTAGCCTTTTGTATGGCTTGCATCTCAATGTCAAGAAAACAAAGATCCTGTTCACTGGACTGATGGGCAATGTCGTGATTTATGGAGAAGAGACTGAAACTGTCAACAACTTCATCTTGCTTGGATCCACAGTTAGCACCCTTGGTACCTGCAGTCAGGAAATAAGGAGACACATTGCACTGGGAAAATGTTTGGTTAGGGACCTCTCCAAATTATTGAGGAGTAATGATGTCGTCCACGACTCGATGGTACTTAACAACAACAGCAACAATGATGTCAGTGTGAGGACTAAGGTGTGTCTGAGCAGGCCATGGTCTTGAAGACTTGAAGAACTTACTGATCAAGCTTAAGAACTACAGCCATCAGTATGGATTATGCCTTACCAGAAACAACACAAAAATCCTTACAACTGGCTGGACACAATAAATACAAAAAAAAGAACGAAGTCAAAGATTTTATTTTTCCCTTCATCCACAAAACAATCAACATTATTTAAAAACTCAAAACCTCAAACTTGTTGCCGTGGAGTCAGTTCTGACTCATAGTTATGCTTCACCAAGTTTTCTAGGTTGTGAATCCCAAAAGGAAGAGACTGCCCATCCCCAGGCACCGCTGAAGGATGGAAACTGCCAGTCTCTAAGTCTTTTGGTTGATAGAGCAACACTACAGAGTAGCCACCAACCAGCAGCAGTTAAAAAAAAAAGCCATTCAATGTGTGTTGCAAAGCACTTCTTTTGAGTCCTATGGAACCAGGATGTCACTTTGAGGATTAAGATGTGCCTTAGTTAAGTTTTACATGCATGTAAAACTAATGCCTTTGAATATACTAAAGACCAATTGAAATTGTGTTAGAAGATAGGCAGCCAGAATGCTCCTTGTAAGCAGGGATGATTAGAGTTCATCTCATTTATAGATAAAGTATATTATCAGGAGGGTCTAGTTCCTAAGGAAAGATTATTATGTATGGTCTGCAAGAAGAAAAAAAAAAGAGAGAGAAAGACATTCAAATAAACTGACACCATGGCTACAACAATGGGCTTCAGCAGGAATATTTTAATAATTACTGATTTGAGATGGGAGCTTTGGTAGCATAGTGCGTGAATTCAGAATTCAGCTGGTGACCCCAAAGTGGCGCCTTTCCTGTTGTTCGTAATAAAAGGCGGCTCTTTGGAAGAAAAATGGACAATCTCCAGATAAATTTAAAACCTCTGAAAACCCAGTGTTAAATCAGCTATCAGCAGATTTTGGCTCGACCACAACGAGTTTAAAGCTATATATCTGAGACGAAAGTTAGATTTTTTTATCAGGGTATTATTCTAAAAGGAAAACAAAATTGAAGCACAGCAGGCTTCCTTTGTTTTTTGATGGACTATAATGATCCAATGCCTGTGCATCTAAATTCCAAAATCAATCTCCATAATAGTCTATGTGTTTCCTACTGCCAAGGGGGGCCATTTGGAGTAGTGAGAGAAGACCTTCACCCTGAAACCCACAGCGTCCCTTTTCAGCAGGAAGTAGCTAAGAGAATAC